TGTGGCGAGGAAGTACTTCAAACTGTGCCGAAGTCACCCACGTAACACCTTTTGTGCCGCTATGTCACAGAGACGTATAGGAACTCACAGGCATCACCGCAGCAGGAAGAATCCTAATTAGGAACAATAAACAGAATGTTTATTAAAAAAAAATAAAAAATGGCGATAAAAAAAAAAGTGATACTTTCACTTAAAAAGCTGCGGTCAGCCCTTGACATTCTCATTATGAGCTATTATTTTTGGTGAGTACGTTTAGCTTTGAAGAAAAATAGAGGGCACATTTCTGGATGAATGTGTAATGAAATTACAGCCCTCAATTTTAAAACGCAGTTTTAAACTGAGAAAAAGATGAGGAAGAAACATGATAAACATGATTTATAAAACGTAGGCATGTATGGATGTATTTAGTCTCTGGTGTGACTTTGAGCTTGAATCACTTGAATCATCTAGGCAAGTACATGAACAAGAACTTAATTGTTGCATTTAGAATATGTCATAGCAAATTCATAACACTGTGCAAGTAAGTAAGGGGCACTATAGTGAATATTAGTGGAAAAAAATGCATTTTATATGTTTAATTTTGACGTTTGAAGAAGCAAGTTGCATGGTTCTCACAGTCACTAAACCCCTGGAAATGTGTGGAATTGTGATATCCAGACTTGGGAAAGTCATGCATTTCTGTATATATGAAAAAAAAAAAAAATCCCCCTGTATTTATTTTGCTAGAAATATTAGTAGGTGTAATCTGTGGAAGATTGTTTGCCATGGGAGAAACAAATAGCATTTTGCAAATTTATTTTTCATAATGCAGACTTTTTCCTTTGCAATTCTGATAAAAAAAAATTGAATTGCAAGATATAAATTCAGAATTGCAAGATATATATGCAGAATTGCGAGATAAAAAGTCACAATTCACTTTTTCATTTTTTATTTTGTAGTGGAAACGAAACGAAACGAAAAACAAAACAAAACAAAACAAAACAAAACAAAGCAAAGCAAAGCAAAACAAAACAAAACAAAACAAAACAAAACAAAGTAAAAGCACAGTTCAGAGGAATAAATAATACAAATTTGTGAGATTTAAACCCAGTATTCAGAAGAAAAAAATGTGAATTGCAAGATATAAATTCAGAATTGCAAGATATATATGCAGAATTGCGAGATAAAAAGTCACAATTAACTTTTTCATTTTTTATTTTGTGTTGGAAACGAAACGAAATGAAACGAAACAAAACAAAACATAAAAGCACAGTTCAGATGAATAAATAATAAAAAATTGTGAGATTTAAACCCAGTATTCAGAAGAAAAAGATGTGAATTGCAAGTTATAAATTTGCTAATTGCAAGAAAGTCAGAAAGTGCAAAAAACAGTCAGAATTGCAAGAAAAAGTCTGAATTGTGAGATATAAACTCTTTATAAAAAAGAGTAGAACTTTGAGTAAAAAAGTCTGAATTGTGATAAAATTAATTAATTAATTAATTAATTCATTCATTCATTCATTCATTCATTCATTCATTCAGTCAGTCAGTCAGTCAGTCAGTCATTCCATTGCAGAAATTGACTTTAATAATCTATATAAAGTCATTTTAAAAATAATAAAATAAAAATAAAAAAAGGCTAGGAAATTGATGTAAAAACCTTGCATTTAGACATTTTTAATATATAATATTACATTTGGTTGCAAACATGTGAAGGTCACTAATCTGCTTGTGTAGAGTGTTTTTCTGTGCCATTTTTCTGTCTCTCTTCATTCTCTTGTCCAATAAAGGTGTACAAAAAGGCCATGGATACAATAACAGGACATGCATGGACTATTAACACCTAGTAGCTAAAACTCTCTCTTTATTGTAATAATCAGTGGAGATATGGTTTCTTTTGTGTGAAATTGACGGGCCCCTGAAGGGAGATACATCATGAGATCAATAGATGTGCTGTGGGTGTTATTGTTTGAACCAAGGCTCATGTGATTGACAGAGGGCTGTCGTACTGTCCCATGGCATCCCTTTAGGCACATTATATTTTTAAAAGCCCTTGATTCATATCATCTCTCTGGTTGTGGTGTCTTTATGAAGCATTTGATGTTTGTGCGTACAGGATGTGCGTTTGACCTCCTTCCTGTAAACATGGCCCTCTGTATAAAAGCTCTCTAAATAAATGATGATAGATAATCTAGATATACAGAGTAAATGGAAAAGTGCCATCAGCATCACCTGTCTATCATGCATGCACACACAGTTATTTACTCTCAGAGAGTGCCAGGCTACTTAATCCAGAGTAATATTCCCCCCCTTAATCACATTCATAAATTGGTAATGATATTCATGCACTTGTGATATATGGCACATTATAATGTCAGCGTGTCTTAGCCGTGCCGCCGTCATTTGAATATGGGCACTATTGCTTTAATAAATCATGGTGGGTGGGATATGGCAGTCATTATGTTGAATGACACTACAGAGTCGTGTAAAAAAAGTGCATTTGGCTCTCATATGCATCACGTTGTTAATCATAATATGACTATTGGGGCCATCTTGATTCTTGAGTGTGATAGAGGGAGTGCATGGAAGAACTAGGCTTTTTTTTTGGTATTTTAGGTAGAATTTTTGTATTATTTTTGTTTTCAGCTAGGATGCATTAAATTGATCAAAAGTGCAGTTTTTGTAACAATGTAAAAGCATTTAGTTTTTCACATATTTTTTCGTTCTGTTTATTGAAAAATCCTAATAAATAAATAAATAAATAATAAAAAATAAATCATGGTGTCCACAACAAAAATAATAAGCCATTTTCCCACATTGCTAGTAATGAGAAATGTTTCTTGAGCAGCAAATCAGCATATTAGAATGATTTCTGAAGGATCATGTGACACTGAAGACTAGAGTAATGATGCTGAAAATTCAGCTTTGATCACAGGAATAAATTACATTTTAAAATATATTCAAAGAGAAAACAGTTATAATATAATATTTTTATTACAATTTATAATATGTTTCACTGTATTTTTCAAATGCAGAAATCGAATTCCCTTGGTATTTTGACATATAACAGGTCAATGTACTATAAAAACATCCTGTAAGTTTCAAAACTCAAAACTTTCATGTTAATTTAAAAACGGCTTTTATTGAAACCAAACTGTGCCACTTTATGACGTACTGTAATAGTGCAGCGAAAGCCCGCCTCTGAAGGAGAAGCTCAACGCCTACTTTTACATCACTGCCGCTTTAGCCCCGCCCACTGATACATGCTTATAGTAGAGAAGAGGAAATACTAGAGAGATGCAAACACAGGATTACTCCATCAACTGAACAGAGTAATGACAGCTTGCCCCGGTATGAGACCTGTCAGGTGTTCGGCCGCAGTCTGCTGAAGTCTATCTTCACTGTCACCCGCAGACAGTTACTGGAGAAGTTCAGAGTGGAGAAAGACAAACTCCCACCAGAGAAACGCACTCTGATCCTCACACACTTCCCCAAGTAAGACACAATACCGTCTTCTAATACACACTCCAGCACCATCACTCTCACATAGTGTAATTGAGCATGTTTGTTTGTTTATTTGTGTGTGTGTTTACTAGGTTTCTTTCCATGTTGGAAGAAGAAATCTATGGAGAGAACTCACCCATTTGGGAGGCAGACTTCACCATGCCAGCCTCAGAGGGGACACAGCTGGGGCATCAAACAGGTGTGTGATGAGCTGGTTATTAGGGATGAGCATTTAGATTAATTTTGTAATGTAACAACAATTTACTCAAATTCAAATTTATGTAAAAAAAAAAAAAAAAAAAGACACGCATGACATTTTTTTTCATAAATGTTTGGCTACATTATCCTTATAATGGTTTCTAAATAAGTATAAATCAAGGATAAATTCAACAACCTATGCTTTTTAAAGGGGAAAAATTTAGCTATATTCATTACTAAAAACATCAAGATTTGCAAATAACAAAGAAAACCTAAAGTAGACTGCTACCATAATGAATTCTATGTCAATAAAGGCTACAGTAAATCACATTTTTATCATTTTACATGATCTTAAAGTGTGGCATCCATCACCTGACAAGTGGGTATACACATTTGATACTGTAAACATTCAGTAAGCCTGACAAGATTAGTGTCCCACCTCAGTGTCTTTGGAATGGTCTGTTTTAAAACGTAAAGTGATGCTACTTTTTATTCTTTCTGTCTTAGTGCTGAGTCCAGTCTCGGTGTCTGGCTCTCCTCTCAGTAAAGGCAGCAGTGGTTCTGCTCTGGGTGTTACAGGTTTGGACGTCGCTTCCTCTGAACCAGTAACCGGTAAGAATATCTAGTTGAAGAATTATTTACTGTGCACTGTGAACTCTGTACATTGGCATTTAATTGAAGTACACAATCATATATGCATCAGACTTAAAGGTGTCATGAACTGAGAAATCAAAGTTCCCTTGATCTTTTGACACATAACAGGTCAATGTACTATAAAAACATCCTGTAAGTTTCAAAACTCAAAACTTTCATGTTAATTTAAAAACGGCTTTTATTGAAACCAAACTGTGCCACTTTATGACGTACTGTAATAGTGCAGCGAAAGCCCGCCTCTGAAGGAGAAGCTCAACGCCTACTTTTACATCACTGCCGCTTTAGCCCCGCCCACTGATACATGCTTATAGTAGAGAAGAGGAAATACTAGAGAGATGCAAACACAGGATTACTCCATCAACTGAACCATACAGATGACATTACAAGATTACAAGACACTGTGTAGTGTAAATAGTCTTTGAATTGCCTTCTTTGTGATCCTAACACTGTATCTAGATCGGACGCGAGCGTAGAAGTAGCACGTATGCTTGTATGTCAGAAATAGAGCGGGACATCAGTTACTCTCGGGGATTTGTTTTGTCAATCTGTACCGCATCCAGTGTAGACAGAATCGCCGATTATAATGGGTTCTGTTGTTCCGGTGTAAATACGGGGTAAAATTAGGAAAGAGCTCCAGATTGCGTCAGTGAAACACTGTTTCTTTGTTTGCTTTACTACGAATTCATTTTTAAACAAGATGCAGGCTTTTCAGAGAGACTGAAAGTAAACGATGATGCAGCGCTGAGTCTGACTAGAGTGGATCCAACAGTAATGTCACAAATTCGCAACACATAAGTGTGAGTAAAGGTGTTTTTACCACTACTGTATAGTCTGTTCCAGACTGTTTGATATAAATATATTTATACGTTTTTAACCCAAATGACCCATGTTGTTTTCAGAGTACGTCACAGCAGCGTCCATCTGTTATTTTAATAAGCGAAACTGTTAGCCAATCATAGCAGTGGGCGTTTACTTGCGAGTCTTGAATGCGCCCCGCCTACAAAAACAGACCATTCTGCATTCTGCAGAGAGGCTCAAAAACAGGATAGAAAATAGCATATTACTTCTAAATGATGATGTTTTTTGATGTAAAATCACACTAACATCATAAGTGATCCTCAGAGAACATTATAAAATAATAATTAAAAAAATGCAGTTCATGACCCTTTTATAATTTAAAAAGCTTAATGGTATATTTGAATGTATATTTCATCCTATTTAATTAATACATTTTTGTGTTCCAGGGTGAAAAAACTATTTTCGACAATGCCTGCCTTATTTATTTTTTATTTTTTTGTAATTATTTTTTTTCCCAATTCAAATTTCAATGGGTTGTGCCGCTCAATTGAACGGTAGCCAGGTAATAAATTTTGAATTTCCCCCAACCCGACTGAACACAACAATATATGACCCAAATCTGTGTTACAGGGTGATTATTAGAACCAAGGCAAAAGCGTGACAGACAGAAACCTGGTGCTGAAACCTTACAAAGTACATTTTTTTGTGATTTGCTGCAGATTTGTTGCACTAAGCCGGAAGTACAGAGGCTCCTTTTTCTACTTTCTTAAAGCTCAGAATATGTTCAGTTCAGCAGAACATGCTTTGTTTGAGGGAATGAAGGACAGATGACAGACAGCTTGTGCTTTTACAGAACGGAAACAAGCTTCCTTCTGGCTTTGATCACACATCTTGCTGTGAGAAAAGCTCTTGAACGCACACAGAAGGCTTGTTTCACAACTAAGCACACCCTGTACGTGCCAGAGTAAGATTACAGTAAAACATATAAATGAATAATACAATTAAAGAGTGCAAACCATACGCCAGCGGTCTAGAATAGGCTTTCTCGCTCACTCACAATCATGCTGGCATTAAGCGACTTTGCCAACTGCCAAAGCGTGTTGTCCAGGTCAACGTGACATTAATTAAAACACAGAGCGTGGGCAGCACCAAGCTCCAGACAAATAAATAAATAGACTTAGTGGTTAAGGAAACAGACTTTTTGACGCCTTGGCACTGCAAATATACCTTCAGATTTCATGATGCGAAGCATGCAGAGATGGAGATGAGATAAATAGCACGTGTAAGAGGGCGAGGGTGCGCTCTCGAAGGCGTTCTGGGGTTAGAGACGGTGATGTATCGTCAGACGGCCTCTCATCAGCCCTGCCTCATTACTGGGCCGTCATTTTGTAAATCAACAGATAATTACGGTATACATCATACACTGTTCGCATCGCCGCAGTTTATTGGATTTTGCTGGGTCCATCGCTAAGGTACGGAACGAGATGGAAAATGAAAAACGGCACTTTCCGCAGCAAATAAACCATTTCTTTGGTATTCTTATCTCCAGAGGGCATTTGAGCAAAAGAACTATAGATTTCGGGTTGCTTGTTTCACACTTTTTGCGTGACCTTGAATCTCATGCGATGCTTAGTGCGTTTTTCGTAATTTTTCTTGCCTTGTTCACCATGCACGTAAATATATGAAAGCCTTTATTTGTTTTGTTTCTTTCTTTCTTTCTTTCAGGTCAGTATTTAGGTTTTAATTCATGGCTGTGCAGTAAGCAATGTTTTAGCCTCTCTCACTTTGTTTGTGAATTTCAATGAGGTTGCCTTGCCTCCACCAAAGCCTTTTTGATTGCTTTCCCTGCTTGAGTATCTCTGTAATATCATTTGAATGTCACCACTCATATGTGTTTGTTTCATATGGGTCCCTTCGTCTATTGCATGCAAAAAAAACCAAAAAAAAAACAGGAGAGAAAAGACGAAGCGTGTGCACGAGAGAAAAGCAGATTACCTAACAAAGGGCAGACTGATTTGAAAGCAGGATATTTCGCTAAGATTCACATTGGAGGTTTGTCAAACACAAATGCCGTATGCTGCTTATAAAGGCAATTTCATTTACAAAGGAGATATAATCAGTCTGTATCATTTTGGACACAAAGCGTGAAGAAGAAAACATCTTCAGTTCTGCCTCAGCCTAAAAGCGCTTTGTAATTTGTCACCTTTTGAGTTGACTGAGTGCTTGGAAATGGAAAGCCCCCTAATTTTACGCTCGTGTGTAAAATATCAAGGATGGTGTCGAAGGTCAGAAGCTCTCAGAAAATGTGTTTTTCTGTTGAGTTTATGAAAAGTGACAGAATGGCATTCATTCTCCCGGTTTGGTCATTTATCATTTAAAGGCCTCATGTGATGCACAGCATTTGTAATACCTGTTGAAACAGGAAATTGGTGTGGGCTGAATTGCAGGACCCATCATGCTTTTTGAAATAGCCAGCTACTTGTGCTTACTAGAGAAAAGGAAAATTAAATAAATAAAACAGGTTGTGTCTATCACAAAGGGGCTCGGTTCTTTTAATTGAAAGATGAAACTGGAAAATGCAACATAGGCTAGTAGTTAGCTAATGTTTAGGAAAATGATAGCTGGTCTAAACTGGTTATTTTATGGTCCAGGCTGGTCCATGGTGGTTAACATTTTATTCATAATCAGTTTAGAGCAGCTACCTTATCAAAAAAAAAAAAAAAAAAAAAAAAAAAAAAAAAATTAAAAAGGAAAAATTTTCC